AGAATTAAAATAGGAGTTTCTAGCTTCACCCAGAAAGATTTTCATCTTCTGGCCACGTTGCTTGGTACAAGAGTTAGCATCTAAGCTAAGCTGGCCTATGGGTATGCATTCCCTGGAAATCTGTCTCACAACTGTGAGACACAGTCATGTACACAGCTAACCATGGCTGTAGAAAAGTAGATGGGCATCAGGTAAATTTAGGGGACTTCCTAGTCATGCTTTTTCACCTTGTCCAGTGGAAAATGGAGGAAGTAGGTATGAAGACAGAAATGTAATGAATGACAAAGAGATAGGCTGCACATCCTTCTAGATCTTCATCATATTTTGTTTTGTTTTTTTTTATGGCCGTTTTTTTTTGTTGTTGTTGTTGTTGTTTTGTTTTGTTTTGTTTTGTTTTGTTTTCAGAGACAGATTCTGCTCTGTTTCACAGGCTGGAGTGCAGAGGCATTATCATAGCTCACTGCAACCTGGAATTCCTGGGTTCAAGTGATCCAACTGCCTCAGCCTCCGCAGTAGCTGGGGACTACAGGCATGTGCCACCAAGCCCAGCTATTTCATAATTGTTGTTAAGTTGGTGCAAAAGTAGTTTTAATGGCAAAAACCACAATTACTTTTGCACTAATGTAATATAAAGACAGGGTCCCACTAGATTGCCCAGGCTGCTCCCAAACTCCTGACTTCACAGGAACCTCTGGCTTTTCAGCACCACCAAAGTGCTAAAATAACTAAAGTGCACCACCACACACAGCCTCATCACATTCTTACCTGTATGCATTTCCTAGACCTGCCGTAATAGATTACCTTAAGCTGGGCTGCTTAAACCAAAGACATTTACGCTCCCCTAGTTCTCAAGACCAGATGTCTGAAATCAAGGTGTCTGCCTGGCTGTTTGCCTTCTGGAGGCTTTAGGGGAGGATCCTTCCTCTCTGTCCCAGCTCCTGGTGGCCCCAGGCATCTCTGGATTTGTGGCTGCATCACTCCAGTCTCTTCCTCCATCTCCACATGGCCTTCTCCTCTGTACATGTCTTCATGTGTCTTTTTCTGTCTTTTGTAAGGATACTCTTATTTGGCTGAGGACCCACCTTAATTTGGTATGATCTCATCTTCATCCTTACCTTAATTGCATCTGCAAAGTCCCTGTTTCCAAATAAGGTCACATTCCCCGGTTCTAGGTAGACACGCATTTTTAGTGGACAGTATTCATTTTGATAAACGGCCTTTGGAACCTCTGAGACATTCTGTGTCCTTGAAAAAATTTCCTTTTCTGTTTTCTTTTGATTGAGCTTATTTAACTGGGTTTATGTTACTTACACAGGAAGTGCCCTAATTAATATGTCTTGTGGATTACATATTAATCCACATTTAATGTATTTTTTTAAATTCATCTTTGAGAAGATGAGCAGTATTAAGACAGGAGCTTTGTCATAGGAAACCTATGTAAGGAAGTTGTCTGAGAGAAGTGGAGTGGTCAGCTTATAACCACATGAATAGATACCTTATAACCACACAAGTATCTATCTAAGAGGTAGATGGACCAGATGTTAGCACAGGCATCTCAGCCTAGGGTTGCCAGATTTAACAGCTAAAAATACAGGACACATAAAAATAAAACTTTAGTGAAAGTATATTTCCTGCAATATTTGACATATAATTATGCCCTGTTTTTTTCTTTGTTTATCTCAAATTCAAATGCAACTAGGGGTAGGACATAATGGCTCACCCCTGTAATCCTAGCACTTTGGGAGGCCAAGGCAGGCAGATCACTTGAAGTCAGGAGTTTGAGACCAGACAAGCCAACACGGTGAAACCCCGTCTCTATCCAAAACACAAAAAATTACCTGGGTGTTGTGATGTGCACCTGTGGTCTCAACTACTTGTGCTGAGGCTGGGGTGGAAGGATCACTTGAACTTGGGAGGTGGAAGTTTCAGTAAGCTGAGTTTACACAACTGCACAACAACCTGGTTGAAGAGTGAGACTCTGTCTAAAAGAAAAAAAAATGAAACTCAGCATTTTAGACTTCTATCTGGCAAACCCATTTATGCCACATACCCCAGAATCTTTCACACCAACTCTGCTTCCAGTTGACCTTGTATCAGGAGCTGGTTTTCAGTATGACCCTTCTTTCCTCACACCTAGTGTAACTCCATACATCCACCTTCAGGATCAAATTTGAGCAGATAGATCTGTGGTCACCTACATTTATTGACTCATTGACTGTAGAAAAAAGTAGAAATATACAAAATATATCAGGCTGAGGTCAATGATGTCCTGCTTCCTGATGTATTTAATCTTGCTGTGGACTTTCCATTCTTGGTTAATGAGAACGTATTTCCATATTTCCGATAAGCCACTCTCTTATTCAATTTGGGCTCCAATTACAGATTGCCTTAGGCTGAGTAATTTATAAACCATGGCAATTTATTAAAGCCTAGATGTCCAAGATCAAGGCACAAGCAGATCGAGCACATGCGGAGGGTTCTCTCCTTTAAAGATGATGGTTGCTGCTCTGTGTCTTCATGTACCAGAAGAGACAAAGGGATCCTGAAAGCCTCTTTGGTGAGAGCACCAATTCCATTCATAAGATAACTTATCACCTTTTAAAGGGTCTACCTCTTAATATTATATGGGGAATTCAATTTCATTGCACAAATTTTGTAGGGAGAGGGATTCTGAGCACAGCAGTTATGCCTAGCTTCTTGGATAACTGTAACTTTCCCCAAAGCAGCTTTTCTCACCTTCTGCACTGCAATGCTTTTTCATGCTTTGAGACATTTTGTCTCTGGGCTGATTCCAGTGACTCACTGAGAATTAACTTCAAATTTCTGAGCTTGTCCTTAGGTTTAGCCATATGTTTTGTCATCCCCTGATATGGGTTTTCTCTCATTGTCATGAAAACCAATTAGAATGCCCACTCATCACTGTCTCTGTTGCTTGCACTTGTTGGGCTTTAGTGAAACTACATAAATACACCTTGGCAGTATAATGCTAGAATTTTATCCTTAATCAAACTAGTGGATTTTTAAAATAATCAATCTGATGTCAAGTAGCCACTTCAACCAGATCTAGTTCATTTTGTTGAAAAAAAAAATCATTTGCAATAATTTGGGGGGGGATCTAATACGTATAAAATCAGTCTATTTATCTGTTCTCATGCTGCTAATAAAGGCATACTCAAGACTGGGTAATGTGTAAAGGACAGAGGTTTGATGGACTAACAGTTCCTCATGGCTGGGGAGGCCTCACAATCATGGCAAAAGATGAAGGAAAAACAAAGGCACTTCTTACATGGTGGCGGGCAAGAGGGCTTTTTAGGTGAATGCCCCTTTATAAAATCATCAGATCTTATGAGACGTATTCGCTATCACAAGAATAGCATGGGAATGACCTACCACGATTCAATTAGCTCCCGTGGTGTCCCTCCCATGATGTGTAGGAATTATGGGAGATGCAATTCAAGATGACATTTGGTTGGGGACACAGCCAAAACATATCAAGCAGTTAATCTAACACCCTGTCATAGATTATTAAAGACTGTCTAATCGGTTATTGAAATTTAGCTATTGGGTTGGTACTAGCCAATAATATTATAGGAATAAAACCTACATGAAATGCATAAAACCACAGAGTCATGCACTACTATGCTGTATTTTTCCTGGCACTTGTTGATAATGGAATGATCATGATAATTAAAAACATTTGGTGAAATCTAAAAGCCACAACATCTAAGTACCAATAAACACACCTAGTGCTCTGATTTTGGTTTCTAATACTACTCTCCAAAAAAATAATCCAGGGATTTAATACAGAAATAAATGATTCTAGGACTTGGGCAGGAAATATCTAAGATGAGCCTGGAGCGTCATGTAGTTACAGAAAGTAAAAATGTACTAAAAAAGCAAAGACGAAATGCAATGATAGGATCATATCAAAGGGGCAGAAAAGCCAACCAAAAGAGCTCCCAGTGGCCACTGTTGCATCCCTTTGAGCAGCTGAGTAAATAAAGCAGTATTGTATTATAACCCAAAGAATAAAAAAATGCTTTATGAGTTCAATATTGATATACACAAATGATTCATAATATAAATAATTTGTGAGGGGTAATAGATAAATCATTCCAAATAATTTATTCAGATATCGTGATATGGCATGGATCTGTGTGCCTGCCCAAATATCAAGTTGAACTGTAATCCTCAGTGTTGGAGGTGAGGCGTGAGGGGATTGGAGTGGTGTTTTTTGTTTGTTTGTCTGTTTGTTTGTTTGTTTTTTACTGCCATCAAAGTGCCAGCCAGGGCTCAGGTCTCATCTGAAGACTCCAGTGGGGAAGAACTCACTTTGAAGCTCACATCATTGTGGAGAGAATAAACATGATGCAGAGGATTCAACTATTTTCCAAATTCTGACCACAGAAGCCAAGACATATGAAATGTGTATTTTGGAGCTACTATGTTGTAATAATTATTTACGTATGCATGCAAATACCTATGTAGGGATAGATATGGACATAGATGACAATAAACAACTTTAGTAGCAGGAAAGAATAAAAAAAAATTGACCTAGTTGAACAAATATGCTAGCTATTTACAGTTCACAGGATTGCTGCAACAGCTCTTTCAGACACAGCATAGATGATTGAACCAGAGTAAAATGTTCAAATTAGGAAGAGGAAAAACTTGACAACCAAATCTGTGGTTTCTGCATCAAGCACAATAGATTTCCTTCACTTTGTCTGAGAATTGTTTACTTTCATCAATTGTCTTGATTTTCTACAATTCACCACATGAGCACATGATTAGCACATCCTCCTAATATCTGAGAGGCACTGTGCTGTCCGGAGCTGCGTGCCCCGGCCATAGCAAATAATAATTAATGATTAAACGCCCGAGCTCTATTCCTTTCCACCTTCTACCTCCTCCCTAGATTTGTTGTTTCTCTTTTGTATCAATACCTCATAATAGATGGCGCTCTTCCTGCTTCTTCTTCACTTGTTTTCCCCCCCCCCCCCCCCGCAGCGGCGAAAATTGTTACTTTGTAGCACAGGCACCATCCCGTGCCCGGGAAAATTACCAACTGACAGCGCAGGTGCAACATGACCTTCGACCAGAGAAACCAATACCTACTTGGTCACGCCCTCTGCGATGAGATCATCTCCGCCTCTGGCCCAACCCCTTCCCCTCCAAGTGTATATAAGGCACTGCATTACCGCCATTAAACGAGACTTGATCAGAGCACTGTCTTGTCTCCATTTCTCGTGTCTCTTGTTCCCCAAATTCCCACCCCCTCCTCCAGGGCCTGCTTCGACGATCCCGCGGGCCGGGATACGTGGCGCCCGAACAGGGACCTGGAAACGAGGGACTCTGTGAGGAAGAGGACGCCAAAGGACGGTCGACCGCTAATAAAGACAAAAGGAGTCAAATTCTTCCGATCACCATGGGAACCTGCCATGTCAGAATCGAAGGTAAGTGATGCATCCGAAATGGGACAAGAATTAAGCCAACATCAAATATATGTAGGACAATTAAAAGAGGCTTTAAAGATACGAGGAGTAAAGGTTAAAGGTAATGATTTGTTTAAATTTTTTGATTTTGTAAAAGACACTTGCCCTTGGTTCCCACAGGAAGGAACTATTGATATTAAAAGATGGCGTAGAGTAGGGGATTGTCTTCAGGACTATTATAATACTTTTGGGCCGGAAAAAATTCCTGTAACCGCCTTCTCTTATTGGAACCTCATTAGAGATTTAATAGATAAGAAGGAGGCCGATACGCAAGTCATGGCTGCGGTCGCTCAGACAGAGCATATTTTAAAGGTTAGCTCCCGCTCTAACCTCGCAAAGCCTCCGCAAGATACGGAGGAGGATCTCATTTCCCTCGAAAGTGATCATGAGGAAATTAAGTCTCCTTCTGTAACAGATAAAGAAATGCCACATGAAAACAAACCAAAAAAATACCCAATTTTACAGATGCTTCAAAAAGAGGAGGAAATTAATAAGCCTAATCAATCGGACATAAATTGGGATGATTTAGAGGAAGAGGCAGCTAAATATCACAACCCTGATTTGCCTCCCTTTACTTCATACCCACCCCCATATAATAAGACACATAATGAGGCTTCTGCGCCTATTGTTATGGCAGCAATAGATCCCAAAGAAGAATTAAAACAAAAAATTGCTCAACTAGAAGAACAGATTAAACTTGAAGAGTTACATCAATCATTGATAATTAGGCTCCAAAAGCTAAAAACAGGAAATGAAAAAATACCTAACTCAGACGCTATGGAGGGTTCCTTGTGCCCACTTCAGCGGCCTGGACAACATGTTCCAAGAGGGGGGTTAGTTGCTAGCTGACATAGAGAAGACTCCTCCCCCAAAGACGTTTTTCCGGTCACGGAAACCATAGATGAACAGGGACAGGCTTGGAGGCATCATACTGGATTTGATTTTACTATTATAAAAGAGTTAAAGACTGCTGCCTCTCAGTATGGGGCTACTGCTCCATATACTCTTGCTATAGTGGAATCTGTGACTGATAATTGGCTCACTCCTACAGACTGGAATACCTTAGTCAGGGCAGTTCTTTCTGGGGGAGACCACTTAATTTGGAAGTCAGAGTTCTTTGAAAATTGTAGAGATACAGCTAAAAGAAATCAACAGGCAGGAAACGGTTGGGATTTTGATATGTTAACTGGTTCAGGTAATTATGCAGACACTCGGGCCCAAATGCAGTATGATCCTGGACTGTCCTCACAAATCCAGGCTGCTGCTACAAAAGCCTGGAGAAAACTTCCCGTTAAAGGAGATCCAGGGGCCTCGCTCACAGCAGTTAAACAAGGACCCGATGAGCCATTTTCAGACTTTGTGCATAGACTTATGACCACGGCAGGTAGAATCTTTGGAAATGCAGAAACGGGTGTAGATTATGTTAAACAGTTAGCTTATGAAAATGCTAACCCCGCCTGCCAAGCGGCAATCAGACCTTATGGAAAGAAAACAGATTTAACAGGATACATTCGCCTTTGTTCAGATATTGGGCCCTCATATCAACAAGGCCTAGCAATGGCCGCCGCTTTTAGCGGCCAAACAGTAAGAGATTTCCTCATTAACAAAGGTAAAGATAAAGGGGGATGTTTTAGATGCGGTAAAAGGGGACACTTTGCAAAAGATTGCTGTGAAAACCAAAATAAGAGTCCAGAAGCAAAAATCCCAGGCCTTTGCCCAAGGTGTAAAAGAGGAAGGCACTGGGCAAACAAATGTAAATCTAAAACTGACAGTCAAGGAAATCCTTTACCCCCCAGGCAGGGAAACGGGATGAGGGGCCAGCCTCAGGCCCCGAAACAAGCATATGGGGCAGTCAGCTTTGTTCCAGCCAGCAACAGCAATCCATTTCAAAACTTAGTAGAGCAACCCCAGGAAGTGCGGGATTGGACCTCAGTTCCACCTCCCACACAGTACTAACACCTGAAATGGGACCGCAAACCTTAAATACCGGAATATATGGACCCTTACCACCTAACACTTTTGGGCTACTTTTAGTGTCACCATGAGAGGCTTACAAGTCCTCCCTGGAGTTATCGATAATGATTATGAAGGAGAAATTAAAATTATGGCCAGAGCTATTGATAGTATTATTACTGTCCCTCAAGGAGTTAGAATAGCTCAGTTACTCCTGCTACCTTTGGTTAAAACAGATAATAATATCCAATACTCTAATAGAAATATAAAAGGTTTCAGATCATCAGAGATATATTGGGTGCAACCAATTACAAATCAAAAACCCTCTCTAACCTTATGGTTAGACGGGAAGGCATTCACTGGACTAATAGACACAGGGGCTGATGTAACGATCATTAAACAGGAAGATTGGCCCTCTCATTGGCCTACCACAGAAACTTTAACTCACTTGAGAGGAATTGGACAAAGCAGTAATCCTAAACAAAGTTCTAAATATCTAACATGGACAGATAAAGAAAACAATTCAGGCCTCATTAAGCCATTTGTCATTCCTCACCTACCTGTTAACCTTTGGGGGCGAGATCTGCTCTCTCCAATGAAAATTATAATGTGTAGTCCAAATGATATAGTTACTGCACAAATGTTAACTCAAGGATACACCCCTGGTAAAGGTCTTGGAAAAAAAGAAAACGGTATCCCACAGCCTATACTGGTTTCAGGACAACTTGATAAAAAGGGGTTTGGAAATTTTTAGCTCAGGCCACTGACATACCTGCACCCCAAAGGTGCGCTGACCCCATTACTTGGAAGTCAGATGAGCCTGTTTGGGTTGATCAGTGGCCTTTACTCAATGATAAACTAAGTGCTGCCCAACAGTTAGTGCAGGAACAACTAGCAGCAGGACATATTGAGGAAAGTAATTCCCCTTGGAATACACCTATTTTTGTTATTAAAAAGAAGTCTGGTAAATGGAGACTCTTACAAGATTTAAGAGCAGTAAATATCACTATGATCCTTATGGGTGCCTTACAACCAGGATTGCCTTCACCAGTTGCGATTCCTCAAAAATATTTTAAAATCGTTATTGACCTTAAAGATTGCTTTTTTACAATTCCCCTTCACCCTGCTGACCAAAAAAGATTTGCCTTTAGTCTTCCATCCACAAATTTTAAACAACCAATGAAGCGTTATCAATGGAAAGTTTTACCTCAGGGTATGGCTAATAGTCCTACCTTGTGTCAAAAATATGTAGCTGCCGCTATAGAGTCAGTCAGAAAAACATGGGCACAGAAGTATATTATACATTATATGGATGATATTTTAATAGCAGGAGAAATTGGCGAACAAGTCTTACAGTGTTTTGCCCAGCTCAAACAGGAGTTAACAGCAGCAGGACTACAAATAGCCCCAGAAAAGGTACAATTACAAGATCCATACACCTATCTTGGTTTCCAAATTAATGGACCCAAAATCATTAATCAAAAGGCTGTTATACGTCGTGATCATTTAAAAACTTTAAATGATTTCCAAAAATTACTGGGAGACATAAATTGGCTTCGACCGTACTTAAAGCTCACCACAGGAGAGTTAAAACCTCTTTTCGATATATTAAAAGGAGACTCTAATCCAAAATCTCCCAGGTCCATTACTAAAGAAGCATTAATAGCACTCCAACAGGTAGAACATGCCATTGCAACACAATTTGTTACCAGCATTGATTATTCCCAGCCATTAATATTCATTATTTTTAACACAACAATAACCCCTACTGGCTTATTCTGGCAAAATAATCCCATTATGTGGGTACACCTGCCCTCCTCCCCTAAAAAGGTTTTGTTGCCTTATTATGATGCCATAGCTGATCTAATTATCTTGGGAAGAGAAAACAGTAGAAAATACTTTGGAATAGAACCCTCTACCATTATACAACCCTACACTCAATCACACATCCATTGGCTGTTACAAAATACGGAAGCCTGGCCAATTGCTTGCGCTTCTTATACTGGCGCGATTGACAACCATTACCCACCTAACAAACTTATTCAATTTTGCAAACTTCATGCGTTTGTGTTTCCCCATATTACCAGTAAAGAACCTCTCAATGACGCATTACTAATTTTCACTGATGGATCTTCCATAGGACTTGCCGCTTACACTTACAATAATGTAGTCGTTAAATTCCAGACCGCTTATACATCAGCTCAGCTGGTCGAATTGCAAGCTATAATTGCAGCACTATCAGCTTTTCCTTGTCAGCCACTTAACATTTATACAGACAGCGCCTACCTGGCTCACTCAATACCCCTCTTAGAGACCGTGTCTCAAATTAAACATATTTCAGACACAGCTAACCTATTTTTACAATGCCAACAACTTATTCAAAAAAGGACTACTCCCTTTTTTCTTGGGCATATTAGAGCACATTCAGGATTACCGGGACCTTTAACTCAAGGTAACGCAACAGCCGACATGGCAACAAAAACCATAGCCACAGTCACTACAGACAATTTGCAACAAGTGCAAAAAGCACATGCCTTACATCATTTAAAGGCCCAAACCTTAAGGCTTATGTTTAAACTTACCAGAGAACAAGCTCAACAAATAGTTAAACAATGCGCCAACTGCATAACGCATTTACCTGTTCCCCATTTAGGAGTTAATCCCCGAGGACTCATTCCCAACAAAATTTGGCAAATGGACGTTACTCACCACTTAGAATTCGGTCAACTAAAATATATCCATGTATGCATAGACACCTATAGTGGATTCATCAGTGCAACTCTCCAAACAGGAGAGGCCACCAAACATGTCATAGCTCATTTGTTACACTGCTTTTCTATTTTAGGAATACCCAAACAAATCAAAACAGATAATGGCCCCGGTTATATAGCCAAAACCTTCTTACAATTTTGTAATACCCTACAAATTAAACATACCACAGGCATTCCCTATAATCCCCAAGGACAAGGTATAGTAGAAAGAGCTCATCTGTCATTAAAAATTGTTATCACAAAATTAAAAGGGGGGAGCTGGTACCCCGTGAAGGGTACCCCCAGAAACATACTCAATCATGCCCTGTTTATCCTTAATTTTTTAAATTTGGACAGTCATGGAAAATCGGCTGCCGATCGTTTCTGGCATCCTGAATCTCAAAAACAGTTTGCAATGGTAAAATGGAAAGATCCACTTGATAATTCATGGCATGGCCCCGATCCAGTTTTAATTTGGGGAAGAGGCTCAGTATGCATCTTCTCACAAAAAAATGATGCAGCCAGATGGCTGCCTGAAAGATTGGTAAGACAAATAAATCATAACCATTGTCAGTCCAGGGAAGATAAATCTCCCTGAGAAGTTCTTTCCTTCTTGTTTTTCAGAAAATGAAGCCTAACATGAGATTCCTTTGGGGAATAATCGCTCTATATAGCATAGTGGCAGTCTATGCAGGTTTTGGTGACCCTCGTAAAGCAAGAGAATTATTACAAAAACAATACGGCCAGCCTTGTGATTGCAGAGGCGGACAAGTATCTGAACCTCCGTCAGATAGAATCACCCAGGTGACCTGCACGGGCAAGACAGCTTACCTAATGCCAAACCAGTTATGGAAATGTAAGTCTACCCCAAGAGATACCTCACCTAGCGGGCCGCTCCTAGAATGCCCTTGTAGCTCTTTCCAATCTTCTGTACATAGTTCCTGTTATACATCCTATCAACAATGCAAATCAGGCAATAGAACATATTATACGGCCACGTTACTAAAAACACAAACTGGAGGCATTAATGACGTACAAGTATTAGGATCCACTAATAAACTTGTACAATCGCCTTGTAACGGCCAAAAAGGAAAGCCTGTTTGTTGGAGCACTACTGCCCCCATTCACATTTCTGATGGAGGAGGCCCATTAGATACTGCAAGAATTAAAACCGTCCAGAAAAAATTAGAAGAAATTCATAAAGCTCTATATCCGGAACTTCAATATCACCCTTTAGCCTTGCCTGAGCTTAGAGATAATTTTAGGCTCGATGCCCAAACCTTCGATATCCTCAATGCTACTTACAATTTACTTCAAATGTCCAATACAAGCCTGGCCCATGATTGTTGGCTTTGCCTTAAGATGGGCCCCCCTATTCCTCTAGCCATACCTAACCTTTCATTGCCCTATGTCAATTACTCAAATGAATCCTTAGTAAATAATTCCTGTCCTATTACCCCCCCCCTTAGTTCAACCGATGACATTTTCTAATTCCACTTGCCTCTTTTCACCATTATATAATAACCCTAAAGAGATTGATTTAGGCTATGTTGTGTTTGACAACTGTACCTCCATAATCAATGCCACCAACCCTTTGTGTGCTGTAAATGGCTCGGTTTTCGTTTGTGGAAACAACATGGCATATACGTATCTACCTACACATTGGACAGGGCTTTGTGTTCTGGCCACTCTTCTCCCCGACATTGATATCATCCCTGGAGATGAACCTATCCCCATCCCCGCTATTGAACATTTTATTTATAGACCGAAACGAGCCATACAATTTATTCCCTTGTTGGCAGGACTAGGAATCACCACTGCTTTTACTACAGGAGCCACAGGCCTAGGAGTCTCACTAACCCAATATACCAAATTATCCAATCAATTAATTTCAGATGTACAGACCTTATCCAGTACTATACAAGATTTACAAGACCAAGTAGATTCATTAGCAGAAGTAGTTCTCCAAAATAGAAGAGGTCTAGATTTGTTAATGGCAGAACAGGGAGGGATCTGTTTGGCTTTACAGGAAAAGTGCTGTTTTTACGCCAACAAATCCGGAATCATCAGAGATAAGATAAAAACGTTACAAGAAGAACTAGAAAAGCGCAGAAAAGGCCTGGCCGCCAATCCCTTGTGGACTGGACTCGATGGACTTCTCCCCTATCTCCTGCCATTTCTTGGTCCTTTACTTACTCTTCTACTCTTCCTCACTCTCGGGCCTATAATCCTTAATAAGCTTATGGCATTTGTCAGACAACAAATCGAGGCCTTCCAGGCCAAACCTATACAGGTCCATTATCATCGCCTTGAGATGACTGAAAATGGTGAGTCTTATTTACCTTAATAAGACCACCTCCCCTGTGTGCTGAACTGGACAGTCAATGACGGGTAAGAGGACACTATCTCCATCGGAGCCTAAGACAGGAGGGCCACCTTTGCTGCTGCCTTATCCCATGACGGGCCTAGAAGGTGGGGGTGAGTTGACCCAACCTAAGACAGGCGCAGTTCCCGAGGGGTCATTTCTTATCATAAAATAATAAAAAGGGGGACCTGTCTGGAGCTGCGCGCCCCGGCCATAGTGAATAATAATTAATGATTAAACGCCCGAGCTCTATTCCTTTCCACCTTCTACCTCCTCCCTAGATTTGTTGTTTCTCTTTTGTATCAATACCTCATAATAGATGGCGCTCTTCCTGCTTCTTCTTCACTTGCTTCCTCCCCCCCCCCCCCCCCCCGCGGCGGTGAAAATTGTTACTTTGTAGCACAGGCACCATCCCGTGCCCGGGAAAATTACCAACTGACAGTGCAGGTGCCCGGGAAAATTACCAACTGACAGCGCAGGTGCAACATGACGTTCGACCAGAGAAACCAATACCTACTTGGTCACGCCCTCTGCGATGAGATCATCTCCGCCTCTGGCCCAACCCCTTCCCCTCCAAGTGTATATAAGGCACTGCATTACCGCCATTAAACGAGACTTGATCAGAGCACTGTCTTGTCTCCATTTCTCGTGTCTCTTGTTCCCCAAATTCCCACCCCCTCCTCCAGGGCCTGCCTCGACGATCCCGCGGGCCGGGACTGTGCTGAGCAGGGTGTGAGAGTCTAGAAATAGTATGCCATTCCAGGGACTTCAAATTTCCTGAACCACATATATATGGAAAGGTCTGTAGTAGGGTTTCTCAAACTCAGCACAATTGATATTTGTGGCTCCAAAATTCTTTTCATAGAGGGATATCCTGTGCATTTCAGGGTGCTGGACAGCATCCCTGGCATCCACCCACTAGATGTTAGTATCATTTCCCCAGGCCCACCCAGTTGTTTAAATAAAAACTGTCTGCAGACATTGCTCGTGTGCCTTGGGGTAAAAAGTCACCATCATTGAGAATCATTGTCCTAAAACAACAAAGAAACAAACCATCAAAAAAAAAAAAAAAAAAAAAAAAAAAGACAAGGAACCACTTCTTCAATTTGCACAAACTTGAAAGCCACCCTAGGCCATTCTTCTCACCACCTTCCCTCTGTCAGTTTGAATCTCTGTGATATGTCTGACTCCAATGCCTTTTAGAATGTTTACCATTGTTGGCACCTGGGTTATAATTGTAGTAGGCTCCTCAGTCATTTTGACAAGCAAACACCCTTTGTATATTTGCAAATACTCCTGATGGAGGAGAGAGGGAGTGTTGAGTTTCCTGGCGGAGAACCACTGCTAAACCAGTAGGTGTTGGCTGATAACATACTGCTAGTTGCTGACTATAGTGTTTCATGTTCCTTCCACAGGAGGTGCCTTCCTCTTCGTGGACTGACACGTAGTCCCCCAAATCTTCTTCAAGACAGGATCAGTGCAATTTGCTTTGACTCACCTATTTCTCCAAAAATCCCTTACTCAGAAAAATTCATCATGCCATCTTCCTACTTTAAAGCACCTTAACTTTCTAACAGCACCTAACTGCCCTACTTGTAATGACATGCACAGTGTGTATGTGTGGGGGCACTGCTAGGGGTGTCCGTCCATCACACTGTGGGTTCCTTTTCCATGTCTGTCTCTCATATCTTGCTTTAAAAATATTTGTTTGTTTGCTTTTTGAGACAGGGCCTTTCTCTGTTGCCCAGGCTGCAGTGCAGTCAGTGGTGCAGTTTCTGCCCGCTGCAACCTCTGCCACCTCCTAAGTACAAGTGATACTGCTTCCTCAGGCTCCTGAGTAGCTGAGAATACAAGCACATGCCACCATGCCCAGCTATTTTTGTATTTTCAGTAGAGGTGAGGTTTTACCATGTTGGCTCGGCTGGTCTCAAACTCCTGACTTTAAGTGATCCCCCTGCCTTGGCCTCCCAAATTGCCATAATTACAGGTATGAATAACTACACTCAGCTAATTTATTTTTTAAATTGAGGTAAAATATAGATATGTGACTTACTGTCTTTGCCATTGTTAAGTGTGCAGTTCAGTGGTAATCAATACATCTATAATCTTGTTTTCCCTTCACGTATTTTGCATAACAGTCGAATTTGCCTTCACTTTCTTCATTTCACTTTCATTTTGTACACTGATCTGATTACTGAAAAAAATCAATGGAAACTTACTGGGCGCAGTGGATGTAACCACATCTTTCCATTTAGGTTATGCCTTTCTTTTCTTGAGTGTTGAGATTCTTGTCTTATGTATACCACAGTGAAGTCATTTAGCACATGAGATCTAATGAAAATCTTAATGTCATTGGCCTTCTGGTATTAAATGAAGTAACATATTTTTTATTAACAAAAGGAATGGATGGAAGTCCCAGGTAAACATAGTTTCTACACACATCATTATCATTTTTAAGTTACTGGCCCAACAACTAGCAAAATTAAGCCATTCTGTTCTTAGACCCCTGATGGTAAAGCAGCCTTTAATAGTGAACAGGGATAAATATCTATATAGCAGTCTCTAGCACATAGGATATACAAGACTACCAAGAAAACTTTGTTTCAAGTTGATCAACTTAAAATAAAAATCATTTATAGATTATATTTTTATTCAAACTGGAAATGTGTTTTATAACACTCAGAAAAAAGTAATTTCTGTATCCCTTCCTTTCTCTCTCTCTCTCTCTCTCACACACACACACACACACACACACACACACACACAGACACACACACAAACCCATCCCACAACCCCCACCCCTCCAACCATCTTTTCCCGCCTTGGTCAGAACTGGGCAATGACAAGCAAGGATTGTAAAAGGTCGGGAATTCTTCTGCTTCCCGTGAGGGACCTGTAGGCTGCCCTTCGTATACTTCAGGCTCTCTCACACTTTTCTTTTGAGAAGCCCTTCGTTGACCTGAGACCTCAGCCTCTTTGAGAACCATTGTTGTCTTCAGCGTTGCAAAAGAGGCTGCCTCTCCCAGGACAGCACCCTCCGGACCAGCTTCCTGTCATCACCTGATGGCCATGCTTCCAGACTCAAGAAGAGGAGGTAGGATGAGGAAGGAGATCCAGGGGCGAGAAATTCATGCATCAATGGCTTCACCATCAATAATAGCAGGGCCCCAACATGAGATTCTTTCGGATATACACAATCACTGTATTTTCTTTTATATGCTGAAAGTATCAAGTATTGCATTATGTGTATTTAAAAGAGATCATGATTTTGGCTGGGAACAGTAACTCACGCCTATAATCTCAGCACTTTGGGAGGCCAAACACTTTGGGATCACGAGGTCAGGAATTCGAGACCAGCCTAGCTAACAGAGTGAAACCCCGTCTCCACCAAAAATACAAAAAAAAAAAAAAAAAAAAAAAAAAAACACACACACACAAAAACACAAAAAAATAGCCTGGTGTGGTGGCAGGCACCTGTAATTCTGGCTACTCAGGAGGCTGCGGCAGAGGAATCACTTGAATCCAGAAAGAAGAGGTTGCAATGAGCTGAGATTGTGCCATTCATTGCACTCCAGCCTGGGTGTCAAGACTGAAACTCTTTCTCTAACAAACAAACAAACAAACAAAAAAAGATTTCATGATTTTTATAACTCTCTTTTAAACTATCTTCATTTGTTTATTTGTTTGTTTGTTTTTGAGACAGAGTCTTGCTGTGTTGCCCAGGCTGGAGTGCAGTGGTGCAATCTCATCTCACTGCCACCTTCGCCTCCCGGGTTTAGGGGATTCTTCTGCCTCAGCCTCCCAACTAGTTGGTATTGCAAGCCTGCACCACCACTACACTTGTATTTCTAGGGTTTCACTTTGTTGGCCAGACTGGTCTCAAACACCTGACCTCAAGTGATCCTCCCATCTCAGACTCCCAAAGTGCTGAGACTATAATCATGAGCCACTACACCTGGCACATTTATTTTTATATATAGGTGAAACCTCTGAAACACACACACACACACACACACACACACACACACACACACACACGTCCTGAGTTTGAATTTCCCCTAACCATCCCCATCTGGCTAGTTCTCCAGAGCTTAGGGAGAGTGATTCTGACACTTTAGAGAGCTTGCCCCTGGAGGAATTTTCCCCTTTAATTTGTCTGCTCTGTATGAACAGAAAACCAACACAAAAATTAGGCAATGACCGGCAACTCACAAGACTTCCGATCTTCCCTTTGCTGGCACTTTAAATCACCAAATTAGATGGGGAAATGCTTCACTGCAAGGTTCCCTGGGCTGCAGATGCTGGGCTTTTCTGGGGATCAATCGCTTTGCACCACACCTGCCTTGTCAGAGAAGCAAAGATATCTTCCGTCCAATGCCTCATTCCTCCACGATCTAGCTTCCTTCAAGCCACCATTTTCTTTTTTTTTTTCTTTCTTTCTTTTTTTTTTTTTGAGACAGAGTCTCGCTCTGTGCCCCAGGCTGGAGTGCAGTGGCGCGATCTTGGCTCACTGCAAGCTCCCCCTCCCAGGTTCACGCCATTCTCCTGCCTCAGCCTCCCGAGTAGCTGGGACTACAGGCGCCCGCCACCGCGCCCGGCTAATTTTTTGTATTTTTTAATAGAGACGGGGTTTCACCGTGGTCTCTATCTCCTGACCTTGTGATCCGCCCGCCTCGGCCTCCCAAAGTGCTGGGATTACAGGCGTGAGCCACCGCGCTCGGCCAAGCCACCATTTTCTTAATTAAGTGCATGCACTTTTCATTTACTGTGGAGGTCAAATACCCCGCATTGGTTTAGAAGCTAAATTACACACACACACACTCAGAGAGAGCAAACTATTGATACAAAGATAGATATTTTTATCTGGTCTACATAGGATTTATAAACAGTATTTAAGATTCTCTCATCTACTAAAATGAAACTGAGCAAACCAGAATGTGAAAAATGTTTAATATTTAGAATCAGAGAATGAGGTTGAGTATTCCACATGCAACATCTTCCTGAATTTTTTTTTTTTTTTTTTTTTTTTTTTGAGACGGAGTCTTGCTCTGCCGCCCAGGCTGGAGTGCAGTGGCCGGATCTCAGCTCACTGCAAGCTCCGCCTCCCGGGTTTACGCCATTCTCCTGCCTCAGCCTCCCGAGTAGCTGGGACTACAGGTGCCGCCACCTCGCCCGGCTAGTTTTTTGTATTTTTTAGTAGAGACAGGGTTTCACTGTGTTAGCCAGGATGGTCTTGATTTCCTGACCTCGTGATCCGCCTGTCTCAGCCTCCCAAAGTGCTGGGATTACAGGCTTGAGCCACTGGGCATATTTTCAATAAGTGGAGGAAGATGGTGTTTGATCTCTCCATAACACATTTAAGAAAAGTGAGGCTTAGAGAGAGTCTGTTTAGCATGTCTTGAATTATGTAGATAATAATGCTGAGAAGTGAAGATCTCTGAGCTACTGGGTCCCATGGGGACTAAGGGATTGTAAATGCACCAATCAGGGCTCTGTGTCTAGCTAAAGAATTGTAAACACACCAATCAGCACTCTGTAAAAACGCACCAATCAGCACTCTGTAAATGGACCAATCAGCACTCTGCAAAATGGACCAATCAGCAGGATTTGGGTGGGGCCAAATAAAGGAATAAAAGCTGGCCACCTGAGGCACGGCAGCAACCCACTGGGGTCAGCGTCCACTGTGTGGTGGATTTATATCCTTCTTCACAATA